TGATGATAATATTCATATATTATCTAGAGACAACCCACTTGTAAGTGGGAAGTGCAATCAGGCTTTCAATCCATTAAATAAATGGAACTATGCATTTATTTTTTCAATGCTGCAATATCAGTCTTGTAGTAAGGGCACATTTAGGTTGTCCAGTTATCACACTCCCATGTACTAGGAATATAGTTCAAAAGAATATTAACATCTGAAATTATAGCTTTCATTGTCCAATCATTTATATAATTGACTACTTTCTCTGAAAACTTTAACTTAGAAGTTAAAGATGACTTCTAATAGCATCTCCAAAAGTAAGGTACTTGTAACCAATCCTTATTAGACATTCTCTGAGATACTCACTAAAGCTATATACATTTTTATTGTATTAAGCTCTTTTTAAGATCAAAGGAAATTAATTTTACTAAAGCCTATGAATGGATTTTGTAATGATCAGAACGGGACGTTGAGTCTCATTATTTTAGAAATCCCCAAATAACACCAATTACTTTCAGAATGGGTTCCTTTCCTAACGTTGCTGATATTTTACCGCCAGCCAGCGTTCATTCAAATACTGTAGAAACTAGATTAGAGTTCCTCTTTGAGGAAGATGGGAAGAGGGAGGTGGGCGCTTTTAGAAATGTGAAAAATAAAATATTTCCGCTCATCGAGAAAGCAAGTGTCGAGGCTCGTTCGAGGCGATTTGGCAGAGGCCAAATGGACAGTACTGTATAATCTGCGCGGATCCCAAATTCCAAAAGAAGGACCAATGCAAGACCAGGGGCCAGCCAATCACCGCGACACCTGCAGAGTTGATCCGGAAGCAAGCCGGAGAGGCTGTCCAAGGGACCAATGAATAGGGGAATCGGGGAGAGGGGGCGGAGCCTTGATTTTGCAGAAGTGGACAGCTCCTCTCGTCGATCCGAAACGAGCTCGCTATGACGGCGCACGGCTTAGCGTTACCGATGATCCTCTTCTCCATCTTCTGGGGGCTCGTGGGATTTGCGGGTCCGTGGCTGGTGCCGAAGGGGCCCAATCGCGGGTGAGGCCCTATCTTTTCCTCGCCTTCCCATTCACACCATCTCAATTCATTCTAAGCTATTGATGCCCAGGAGGCGTTCAAGACCTTGAAGCCGTTGATCCCGCTCGGTGTTCCTCAACCTTTGAGGAGCTGTACATTTCAACTTCCAAAATTCTCCAGCCAGCAAGTCCACACATTTTCAAGCTGCCGAGGTTGAGAAACACTGATCTAGACCCCCCCCCCATCTACCCACCCCCAGTGCCCTCTTCTGTTGAGATCCCTGAATCCCCGAACCAAGGGTAGGGCAAGAGACATAAGTGATGCGTCCCAGACACTGTGCCATCACAGATCAATGCTCTGTGTAGAATAGGGTGTATCATTTCACCCAAAATAAGTGGGGGCAAGTTTTGATTTATGCCCTTTGATTTTGCTATAGATAAATCAACTACCAAAAGCCTTAGCTTGATCTTCTGGTAGGATTCTATTACATGAGGCACATTCAAAAGAATAATAGCTTATAGTACAATTACTATGTCTACAGCAGCCTAGGATGTAATTCTTGATTCTGTTATCCTGAAATTTCCTTATGATTCTCCAACCTTTTTCTTTTTTCTTTAGAGTGATTATTACCATGCTGGTGACAACTGCTGTCTGTTGCTATCTTTTGTAAGTAAATCATGGGAACAGGGTAGCTGGGACTGTTTCTTTAAAAAAAATGCTTTTTTAGCTGGGGATGATATAATAATATAATCCCAATTCCTCCTTTCTGGGAAAATAAAAGTAATCTGAGATAGAAGAGGTTATATTAAGATACTTCATTCTTAGCAATGCTGGTAGGATGATGTCACTTGGACAAGTTACTGGAACAGTGAGAACATTTATTTATGTTATTCTATGCACATTTTGTTATCCACAGCTTCTTTCAACATAATTTCACCAAGCATCTTTTCTCCTGTTTCTTATAAGCATAACTCAGCTCTACAGTATTTTGTAACATAATTCCTTTCATCCTCTTCCATGTAGCATTCACATCTTCTTTCCTTATGTTCTCTATTAATTCCATTGGGATATTATTCTATTTTCTAATACTTTTTCATGCAAAACATTTGTACTGTACTTTCATTTTATAAGTTTCTTTTCCTCTCATTAGTATTTTTCACTTATGTCTGTTTTTTTTCTTGATTTCCTCTTGACACCACCTAGTTTGAATTACATTCAGATTCTCATATCATCCTTGTATTCTTTACTAATTCTTATCTTTCATCATAAACAATTATACATATCATGCTTTTAAATTAATTTCTTTGCTCTTAGTTGTGATTCTGTCATGAGCAATTTTATCTTTTTCTCTTGCAGTTGGCTTTTAGCAATTCTTTCTCAAGTCAATCCTCTCTTTGGCCCTCAGCTGAAGAATGATACCATCTGGTATGTTCTCTTTCAGTGGGAATGACCTGGGCTGTTACAGACCAATTTCATAGGTATGTATCCACCTATTCATACTCATAAAAGCATAGAAGTGACTAGTTTCTTGTGGCTTGTAACCAACTAACAACTGGAAAGAAAAAAGGATTGACCGTGCTGTCCAGCCAGTGTATGGGAATTGGATAGTTAGATAGCAATTATGATCTGTCCCCTTAAGGGAATGCATCATGGTAAATGTAGTTAAGGTATCCTGGGAAATGTAGTCCATGTCATGTGACCACATCTGTAATCCTGATTGGTCACTAAATTGACCCTTGGTGGGTTGGGGAAAGTTTCCTCACTCTTGGCTGAACTCACTGACTTGTGGTAACTGGTCTACTTCTACCACTAGGAAATGAGGGGAAAAGGATAGCAGATAACCATCTTTTTACCTACAAGACAGATATGCAAAGGATTGGTCATTAAAGAAGAACTTCATCACAAATGTGAGTTATGATACCTGATGAACCAATAAATGTACTTTGTTATGGACATCTTGTTGAGTTTATCTATCTGCATCTCTACAGAAGACAAATCCACCACTGTACAGAATACAGAACAGTAAAAAGATGGTTATCTGCTATCTTTTTTCCCTCATTTTGTAGCAGTAGAAATAGACCAGTTACCAAGAGTCCGTGAGTTCAGCCAAGAGGAAACTTTCCCCAACCTGAGGGTCAATTTAGTGACCAATCAGGATTACAGATGTGGTCACGTGACATGGACTACATTTCCCAGGATACCTTAACTACATTTACCATACTGCATTCCCTTAAGGGGACAACTCACAATTGCTACTAACTATCCAATTCCCATACACTGGCTGGACAGCACATTGACTGCATTATTATTTGCAGTTCATGAATTTGACTCTTTACTTGTCCTGATATGCACTGATATGACCAAAATTTATGAATCCATAAACCAGGCTGTTATTCTTTTTGTCTGTGTAATGGAGAGAAGGGAAGCTGTTTAATAGTTCTAAGACAGGTTCTCTCTCTTTTGGGAAAATTCACAGATAATCATCTTTCTTTCAGGCTTCACCAGCTGAATGCCCCTTCCAGTTGAAAGTGTGATGGATCTTTTACAACCCGTTTCCACTACAGTGACCATTCCCTGCCTTCCAATTTTAACTGATACATTGGCATATATCATCTTAAATGTTATTAGTAAGGACCCTCCCTTGGTAATTGCAATAAGTAGTACAGTACAGTACAGTAAGTAGTTGTATCCTTGAGATTGAATCACTGTTGATAAGAGCTTTGCAACATCCTTCTGAATAAGAAAGAACTTTTCTCCATTTCCAATGACATGGTAGATTTGTAGGTTTCTCTGCATTTTTATTTTTGCATAGTTTCTTCTGTCAGAGTGTATTTGCCTAGACATTTCTAATTGTCCATATTAACTACCAGTTGTAAATATAAATATGGTATAAACTTGTATTGTGAAAATTAAAGTAGTTTGTGACCTTTTATAGGTGGGGTCCTATTGGGTGAGTATAATAAAACTGCTGATATCACTTGTATCATTTTAAAGAACAGTGTCAACAAAATCAAATTTCGGATGAGAGATTTTGTTGCAAGGCGTGATTTCACTCTAGCTGCTCATGACTGAGAGCGAGTTTAGTCTGGTTAGGCACTAGTGTTGAAGCCAGGACACTAACATGAAAGCTGATTAGGTGACTCACTCTCTCTCTCCCTTGAACTCATTTTAGAAGGTTGTTAATGTGGGGAAAATAGGAGAAAGGAGTATTATGTCTTCATCACCTTAAGTTATCACCAAGTAGAAAGGCACATGAGGAATAACGACTTGTGTAGCCCCTTGGGCTATGGAAAAGAAACATCAAAGATGGTTTCAATAAACTGTGATTATATAGCTCAGTGTAATTTATTGCTACAGTTCACTGGATTTCAAGTATTCAAACAAATACATTATGAAATGTAGCCCACCATTGATTTAGAGTCACTGTTGAAAGAAGTTGAGTTATCCAGAATGGTTTGTATTTCAAGACAGTTTTCTGCAAAACAAGTAGTCCTCAAGGTATGGCCCTAATGGAGCCTGCCCATTAGGGTCATAACTCCAAAAAAAAATTCTTCAAATGAATCAGATTCAATTTTATGAATTTTTAAAGTCAAATTTGTCAACTGAATCAAATGGGTTGTTAAATGAATGAAATCTGACTACTTCCTCATTCATTAATTGATCATTGTCATTGTTAACTGAACTGAGAGGCTTTCTCCACTGCTCCCAGCTGCACATCAATTGTTTCCAATGCAGCCTTCAGTTCAGGAACTAAATTGCCTCCAAGCAGGCTTCCTCTGCTCTTAGCTTGCAGTTGCTTTTTAAAAAAAATCATTTGCTGCTAATCAGTTCAAGCATCTCCAGGCAGCTGGGGGGAAGGGATTTACAGAACTCACTTGCCCCTGCTAAGCTCAAGCCTATCCAGGCAAGCAAGGACTACAAAAAACACAGTGCTAGTCAATTCAAGCCTCTCCAGGGAGCTAGACACTCTGTGTGTGTGTGTGTGTCACTAATTAAGTGTCTCCAGGTTGGCACCCAGAGTGAGATGTGGGAGGGATTTATAGAGCTCTCAGCTTGCAACAAGTAACAAGATTTGGAAGGGACCTTGAGGTTATCTACTCTAACCCATTGCTATTGCAAGACACCTATACTACAGTATTACTGATAAATGCCTATCCAGTCTCTTCTTAAAAGCATCCAGTGATGGGGAATCCACAACTTCTGGAGACAATTTAAAACCTCTTTAAAAAAAACACTGCTGCTGATCAGTACAAGCCTCTCTGGGTAGCATTAAAACCAAAAAAAAACCAAAACTGAGCACTGGCTGCAAAATCACTGGATCTTGTTTTCCATTTAATGGGGGGAGGGCAGCGACAAGGGGTGGGACTGTGCCATCTTCAGGAAATTGCATGTTGTAACCCTGAATGGCAAAGGGAAGTCACAGAGTTTAAAATGGCCACCGCTGCAGCAGTGACTGAATCCAAGTTACATGGCTACAGAGGTCTCTTTTTGATCAGTTTTGAATTTCTAATGTAAGTGCCTTTCTGAATAAATTTGTTCTTGTGAAAATTTACTAAATGCACAGCCATACTTGGGGGATTACCTGTACTAGGAATAGATGAAATGCCCAAGAAAGGAGCATCCCCAATGAGCCATCCTTCATCATGTATGTAATAGGAAATCTGACAGAATCTCCATGCTTTCTACAGAATGTGCAAAATTCAATCCTCGAAAATCACAGGGGGAAAAAGAAGGCAGAATATAGCAGCCAATTATAGTTTCTTTTTTCTTCTGGTTTTAAAAGTGTTTTTTTGTCCAATGGATCCTACATTTTAAAACATTGTCTTCTCTCAGCCACTGGTACAAGAAGCCTCTATTCAAAACAGAGGGCAGGCAGCACCAGTATGAGCTCTTCACTTTCCTTTGCAGAAGATCCCTCAGAAAAGCTGCTTGGTCCTGCAAATATCTTGTGGCAAGTTCTCCCACCCACCTTTTCCTGAGCAGATAAGTTTTCTTTGGTTATTTGCATTGATACTGTTTTCAATTCCAATAGGGATGGAAGCGAACCTTTGGTCCTTGCCCTGTAACACCTGCAACGTGATTGTCCTATCCCAGTTAGGAACTTCAGACACAATCTGAAGTCCCCTGGCAGCCATGGCCCTTGGGATAAAATAATATTGAGCAGCCACTCTGAGGCTAAGAAGGAGTGCTACAGTATTTTGGACTGGGGAAAAAGGGGAATCACAGCTTTTGGCCTGTTAAAAACCAGTGCCACTAAGGAAACACTGGACAGTCACTGAGATAGTCTGGATAGCATTCTTTTGTCAGGAGCCTTCTTCCAGGGCTGGCAGTGGTACAACTTCTTCTAGCCATAGCAGATCAAGGGGTGCTGACTGCAATGGCTGATGGTGGATACGGCGCAGACGGAGGAGGTAAAGCCCAATTGCAAGCGTCACCACAAGAATACACCCAAAAAACAGATAATGATTGTAGACAAAGGAAAGATGGACCCAAGAGCTGTGTGACTGATGGAAGCTCTCCCGTTGGATGTCCCTGAAACAGAATAGAAATTGGCTACTGTTATACTTTTTGTATATCACATTCTCCCTAGTGCTTAGTGTGTTATATGTAAACCCTGTCCCCCTCCCCCCCCCCAATTTTATCAATAGCCTTGAGAGAGGTTAGGAAGCAACTGGCCCAGTTTTCTCACATGGTTTATAGCTAAGTAGGGATTTAAAACTGAGGCTTAATAATTTCTTTAATCATATGTTATTCTATACCTGCTAATGTGTGATGCTGTTTAATGGGAATGTTGACACTATTTACTTGTAGTGCCTTTTATTTCACAAGAGGTGCAAAGTTCATTATGACACAGAGCTCCCACTCATCTTTCTTAGGATAAGTCTCCCTTTCTGGATACTTCCACATATTGTATCACTTGCCTTCCCAGAGGTGTGAACTCTTTAAGGACCCATTCTGTGGAAGAAGATTACAGTCCTACCTAACCTCCACATCAGTTCATATATACTAGTTTGACCTGAAAGTCAAGTGGCAGGATTTCAGCTACCAAAAATTGAAGGTAAATAAACCTTCAAATCCATGAAGAAAATTTAAGTCCCAGATTCCCCAAGATTTGGCTTGTGTTAATTCAAATCTCACAAACAATTTATGAAAGGAAGGGAAATATCTCCGAAAATTCTTCCAAAAGGCTGATGTTGGAGTTCCCAAGATGACCTGACTCCTAGAGAAAACTCACAAAACTCAGGAAATAACATTGTATAATACCTGAGAGGTAAAAAGCGGGTTTTATAAAGAATGGCTCCCAATGTCCATTGCACTTCTCTGTCATATAACAACTGCACTGTATGCAAGCTAGAGTAATCTTTGGGGAAATGGAATCCTTCATGCAGAACCTGGTGCATCCAAGCTGACTTGAAGCATTGGTACCTACAAACAGAACATATCAGTTTCATTACAAGGATGCAGATCTGGAACTCATCTTAGTAATTTCTAAGGCTCTTGTCCCAACACTGCAAACATAAGATTATGGATTTAGTACATCTTCTACCCCCAGTTCTTCTCCTGCAAAAGGCAAGAATGGCTCCTTACTTAACACGGTGGAGGTCCGCATGTGGTGAGTAAAGCTTGTCATGGAATCTCTGTAGCAATACTGACCAGCTCAGGCTACAATAATCCTGGAGGGTAGCAAAGCAAAGGGAGATTAGTGTAAAAAATAAGAGACACACAGGCAAAAGTCGTATCAAGGCAAAAGTCATACTCACTTGGGCAGCACGTGTGAATGTACTGCTTTGATAAGGTCCTCCTAGACGCAGCACATCATCAGTGCAGTAGTAGAATTCTGAGAATCCGAAAAATTCACTGTTCGCAAAATCAATAGATGCCTGATAGGAATTGCTCAAAGAACTTCCACTGCTGTTGTCTCCAGCCAACAGGGGGCGCAATTTTTCTGCACAGCTTCTCCAATCACCTTGACCCCTGACATGCATTGCCTGCCTACCTTTATCCACAACCTCCTCTAGTCCCATTGGCAGGCATGGGTCTAAGACTGGCACTTCAGGATTCATACCTATTTGTACACCGTGCAATCTACAACAAATAAATCAATAAATATATCTGTAAAAATTAAGACAGCATTCCCAATTCATGGCACCAAAACAGGTCAGAACACCAATTTTTCCCTTGCCCTCATTCAGGTACCCAGTTTGTTACTTCTCAGATTTTCCCTAAAACAAATAAACACTCATATATAAACATACACATCTTAATAACAGGTATCTGAAACTTGAGATTTGAAACTACAACAATCAACAACAGCATATAAGCTGACCTCCGGAGACAGAATCACCTGTGGAAGCAATAGGAGTACTTATCGTCAGAGCTGCCTTGCTATTCAGCACAATGGGGCTGTTTTGGATTTTCATTGGTTTTTATACTTTATGATATAAACCGCTGAGAGTCACAATTTTAAGTTTAGTAGTACAGCAGTACATTCAATCAGTCAATCATTATGACCTGGCTAAGACAGAAACAGTGAAGATCTGATACTTAAGATTGAAGAACAATATGAACTGATTTTGGCATATTGCATTACGGTATATAAACCATATATCGTGATTATTTTTATTAAAGACTTTCCTACAAACTTCCCTGGAAGACTGGATGGATTGCAGGGCACTTTTAAAAATGTTGCCAGGTTTAGCAAATCTTAGAGACACATAATGCCGAAAGAGCATTCTCAATTGACTTTTTCTATAACAAATACTCTGAATTCTTTTGCATCATTCCTGCGGTCTCTGATCCCAACTTTGGTGAATAACTAATTTGAAATAATGTAGCAGGAAAGAGGGGGAATTGTTCAAGGGGAAAAACACAGGGCAGTAATATTTGTAATAAAATCTTTCACTTTACAGAGGAAGACAGAATGAGTCTCCTGATTAAGTATTATCTTCCATGCCAAAAGCCCATTTTTCTGTGTATATAATTGGTTTCTGTACAGTTTGCACCTTCTCTTCATTAACATCTTGTAGTTGTTCCACAACCGCATTTTGGGCTTTCCTTGGTCTGGGGAACAGAAAGTGCAACTGCTAACCCTAGAAAACCTTATTATGAATAAGAATTGCCTCGGAAAAACATTTCAGTAGCTCAAGAATACCTGTTGTGAGCGATGGTCTGATTCAGCACCAGTTCTTCATATCGTTGCCGAGCAAAGTTGC